AGTCTTTCACTGAAGGTGGCACTCACCAATTTGGCTAATGTGAGCAAGTCCCAGGGATCCTAACTCAGGTCCTCATGATTGCAACCACTTTAACCACTGAGCCATCTTCCTAGCTATGAAGTTATTTCCTCTGGTTTTGTGGATTACCTTTACTCAGCTGACAGTATTCCTCTGTGCATCTACATTTTCAACATTGACAATGCCTCACTCATCATCTTTTTTTGTTGTTGTTGCTTATTTTGGCACCAATTTCAGGGGATCACTGCCAAGTTTAATGTCATCAAAAATTTCCTAGACCATTTGCTTAGTTCTGTATTTAGGACTTTTGAGTCAAATTGAGCCAATTTTTGTATTTGGCATTAAGACACAGTCCAGGTTCATTCTTCTGCACATGGACGTAAAATATGTAACCCATTCCTTCCTTCCTCCCCCTCACTCCCTTTTTTCTTTTTTCTACCTGATCTGACTAGAAATTTTAACTATGCTTAAGAAAAGTGGTGATAAGGCATTTTTTGGAGGACGGTTTTGGAGGAAAAACTACCAGTCTTTTATCATTGAGAAACCTTGGATATAGGTTTCTTTTTCATGTTGAGGAAATTTTCTTCTTTTCCAGGTATATTGAGTTTTTAAAATTATGAATAAAAAATTATGAATGAGTACTGCACTTGGTCAAATGCTTTTTCTGTACAAACTGAGATGAGAGTAGTGTTTTCCCATTCATTCTGTCAATGTGGTGTATGCTATATTCCTATGTCTATTCTTAACCAATCCCCATGTTGCCTCCTTTAAGTTGTTTTACAGTAAATTTCCTCTAAACTGAGGAACAAGACTAAGGTAGGTACCTTTTCCACTGTTGATCAATATAGTACTGCAAGCCTTAGCTGGAGCAGTAAGACATGAAAAGGAAAGAAAATAGATACAAACAGGAAAGAAACAAGTCAAAGTATCCTTATTTGCAGAAGATATGATTCTATACAAAAACAGACTTTAATTTCTCTACCAGAACTCCTAGAACTCACAAATATTTTAATCAGTGTGGCAGGATACACAATTAATATACAAAAATCAGAAGTCTTCCTATATTAATATACATATTGAGGGAAGAAATCAGGAAACACTCCCATTCACAGAAGTCTAAAAACAAAAACCCTCCTTGGAATAAACATAACAAAGGATGTGAAAGACCTCTAAATGAAAATTTTAAAACACTGAGGAAAGAAACTGAAGAGGAACCTAGACAATGGGCACTAGAAGACAGAGGCTTAAGTATGAAATTTCTCCAGTTGCTCAGGTAATAAGGCCAGTGATGGACAAATGGAATCTTGTGAAAAGAGGCTTCTGCAGAGCAAAGGAAAGTTTCATCAAGTGAAGAGTCGGAGTAAAGAATGGGAGAAAATTTTTGTCAACTATACGTTTGACAAAGGATTAACATCCAGAATATAGAAAGAATATAAAAACTGAACTTCAAGAAATACCCTGATTTTTTAAAAATGGGTTGAGGAATTGAATAAAGAATTATCAAAAAACAAACAAAACAACAACAACAAAAAACAAAACCCACAAAAAATTTAAAAAACCCAACAAACAAAAAACCCAAAACTCAAACAGAAAACACCCAACCAACCAACCAACCAACCAAATCCCCCCCCCCACACAAAAAAACCCCAAACTACTTTCAGAATCCATCTCATCCCAGGTAGAATAACTATTGCTCAGAAAAATAAATGACAACAAATCCTGGTTGAAGACATGGAAAGAGGGGACCTTTATTCAGTATTGTAGGAGTGTAAACTGTAAATTAAGGTAATCTCTGTGCCCTTTATTCAGTATGGTAGGAGTGTAAACTGTAAACTAAGGTAGTCTCTGTGGCCTTTATTCAGTATGGTAGGAGTGTAAACCATAAACTAAGGTAGTCTCTGTGGCCTTTATTCAGTATGGTAGGAGTGTAAACCGTAAACTAAGGTAGTCTCTGTGGCCTTTATTCAGTATGGTAGGAGTGTAAACCGTAAACTAAGGTAGTCTCTGTGGCCTTTATTCAGTATGGTAGGAGTGTAAACCGTAAACTAAGGTAGTCTCTGTGGCCTTTATTCAGTATGGTAGGAGTGTAAACCGTAAACTAAGGTAGTCTCTGTGGCCTTTATCCAGTATGGTAGGAGTGTAAACCGTAAACTAAGGTAGTCTCTGTGGCCTTTATCCAGTATGGTAGGAGTGTAAACCGAGTATGGTAGCAGTGTAAACCGTAAACTAAGGTAGTCTCTGTGGCCTTTATCCAGTATGGTAGGAGTGTAAACCGTAAACTAAGGTAGTCTCTGTGGACTTTATCCAGTATGGTAGGAGTGTAAACCGTAAACTAAGGGAATCACTGTGGTGGTTCCTTTAAAAAACTAAAACTAGAAGCACCATATGACCCAGCTCCATCACTCCTGGGCATGAACCAAAAGGACTCTGTATCCTACCAAAGATATGTGCATAGCTATGTTTACTGCTGCTCTATTCATAATAGTAATGAAATGAGCCTAGATGTTTATCAACTGATGAATGGATAATAAAAACATGGTACAAATACACAATGGAATTTTATTGGGCAGTAAAGAAAAATGTAATTATGAAATTTTCAGGAAAACAGATGGAACTGGAAAATAATATACTAAGTGAAGTAACCCAAGTGCAGAAAGATCACATCTTCTCTATGTGAATCTTAGCTTCTAATTTTACATACGTTTATTCATGTGGAAATAAGTATGTGTAGAGGTCAAGAAACTACAGAGACTCATGCGGAAGAAAAAGGCTTTATGGGAGTTAGAGAGGATAGAACACATGTGACATGAAAGAGGAAGGAGGAATTGTGGGGGTAGAAAAAGTCAAGTGGAGATGTGGGCATTGAGACGGGGGTGGGGGGAGTCAGCTAAAACAAAGTATGTATGAAAAAGCCACAAGGAAGCTTGCTACTTTAAAGATAATTCAGAAAATAAAATAAGGCTGGATAGACAGTCTAATGGGTGAGAATGCTTGCTGTGCGATCATGGAGACTGGAGCTTGGATCCGAGCACTGATGCTACAAGTTGGGTGTCTTGAAAAGATCTGTAGCTTCAGCTCTGAGATATAACACTGTCTTTTGGCCCCTGCATGTGCACAGGCATCCACCAACCAACCCCTTCCCCAACCCCCAGAAATAAATCTTAAAAAATAAAAAAAGTAAAATTAATTAAGAAAAACCCAAAAACCTCCCTATAAAAGTTGTTTGTCAGGGAGACCCAAGATGCTCCCCAAACATTACAGGCCACTGATGCTGCTGTTGGTTGCCCACCAGATCTAGGTAAGATCTTACTGGTGAATATAGCTTTGGTTGTAGGACAGAGAGTAATCAAGCTGCAAATGGGCTAGAAGCTTCCTCCCTGATGCTAGCCCTCAGTGGGAAGACAGTATGTAGCGTATTGGGGGAGAGTTGTCATCAATAGTCCTAGTCAGCTATAGACCCTTGTGCTACGTAAGAGCCATCCACTACCGCACCAGTGGATCTATGTGTGAAAGTGGCACGACTGGTGAGTAAACAGCTGCTTTCTGATTGAAGTCCAGGTCTGGTATTGTAAACATGATCAAAGTCTACTGCTGAGGTGGGGGCTCATAGGCTCTCTTGGTGAAGCTACTGCCATTGTTTTGCTAAATGGATATGATATACCTGTCAAACTGCTGTCTAAATGTTTAAGTTTGTGCTCATGTACTAGTGTTACTTTCAGCTTTGCTTTGATTAGAAAAGTCTCCCTCCCCCAGTGGTAGTGGTTACTAAGTGAAAGCGGATTGCTCGGACCTACATGGAACATCTATATCACCCACTCCAAGGCTCAGGAAACATCACAGAAAAGGAGGTACAGGAAGGGGCGGAATGTTGTGGAAGGCTGTCTCTTGGACAGAACATGTTTGCAGCACTCTTAAAAAAATTTTTTTTTGAAACAGGGTCTCACTATGTAGTCCTGGCTGGCCTTGAATTCAAACAGACCCACCTGCCTCTGCCTCCCAAGTGCTGGGATTAAAGGTGTGCACTACCACACCCAGCTATGTCTGTAGCCCTCCTGACCTCTAAGCAGCTGTGATTACCTGGACAAGATTAGGACTGTTAACATTCAGTCATGGAGTGGGGAGAAGCTCATGAGGCCCTGCCCTTGTTAAAGATTTATAGACAGTTAATTGGGACACATACACACATCTCTGTCCATGTAAGTAACCCTAATTAAATTCACACACACACGCACACACGCACACACAACACACACACACACACACACACACACACAGAGAGAGAGAGAGAGAGAGAGAGAGAGAGAGAGAGAGAGGATGATATAAAAGTAGAAGGGAAGACTAGCTGTGAAGAGGAAAGGGACAGCAGGAGCAGGAGGGGTCATGAGAGGCTATCTGAAATAGGGCTGGCCAAGGTTGGTCTGGAAACTGTCAAGAGACTGGTAGCAGAACAACGCTGCTAAGCCAGGACGTGAGGTCAGAGGAGATCTAGTAACAGGAAATTAGGGTTAGGTAAAGCCAAGTGGATGAGGAGGTTCTTAGAGGTCACAAAAAGGAAAACCAAGGCTAGTCATTGGAAGACCAATTCAGGTAACCAAAAAGTCAAGGCCTTCTTATCCGTGTGAGAATGAACAACTTGAACTTGTACAAGTCATTTTCAGTCTCCCAGTTTCTACCATAATGGAGAAAGGCAAATCTTGAGCTAAATGTGAATCCTTTCATGTGAGAAAATATATTCAGATAAAAGTTTCTTAATGTACTAAAATACATTTCATATTTTGCAGAAATCACTGATGTACAAAGTCTGATAATAGTTTTAAAGAAGTCGTAAGACTTTTCAGAATAAGTTTCCAGGTTAACAGAGACTATTCAACAAATGATTTTGACCTTGTAAAACTTAAGTAATTGCAAATTGTTAAAAGTTGCCAAAAAATCCAGTCCCTTTACCATTGCCTGTTTTAACATCTAGGTAACAGATCAAAAACTTACTTCAATTTACTTCAGCTAACCAGTTTTTCACTTTCATCTCTTGGTACAACTATATTAAAGTGAGCCTAATACTTTACTGATCTCAGAAACAAACCACCTGTGTTATAACGGTGTTTTACCTTGAGTGGTGAGCTGTCCCTCTTGAGCCTGTACACAACGAAGCTCTTCAATGGTCTCCTTCAGAGAATCTCTTTCTGTTCTTAACCTCTAAGAGGACGTAAAAACCAAGGTCAGCTCTATAGATTTACTAAGTAGTATTATTTGCCTTGTAAGAAGATAAACAATTAACATGGACAATTTTTTATCTTTTGGTCTTTTATGGAAAGATCACAGGAGTATAAAAAGATGAAAATAAGTTTTTTTCCTATTTTAGTAATACTGAATATCTACTATTGCAAGATAATATGCTATCCATGATTAAGCATGAGACACAAAGCTATCTATTCCATCCCTAACAATAAATAAATACTTTCTTAACATTCTTTTCATTAAACAAAGATTCGAGGACAAAGATTAAATATTTAGAAACTGTGAAAAGCAAAAATACATTGAATAAAAAAGAAATGCCCTCCATACTAATCATATAAAAAACAGAAAAACTATACAAATATAAAAAGTCAAGCATCAAATGACATCAAAGAGGAAGTAATGATAAAAGCAGCAAAACACCAATTAAATCCAAGCCTTACTTTTAGCACTTCTGAAAATCAAAATGCCCATTACATATACTCACATCCTTTTCTTTTTGAAGACCATCAACTTTTTCTTTTAGCCATTTATATTCAAAGTCTAACTTATCTGCTTTCTTTGATTCTTCAGATAATCTATTTTGCAGTTCTACTACCTAATAGAGAAAGATATCATTACTCTGGGTTCAATCTCTAGCATGTCCCTCATTCCAAACAAAATAAAAAAAGTACACACACACACACACACACACACACACACACTTCTGTTTGAACTCTCACCACTTGTTTTGTCTGCGGAAGACAAACCAGGCCATTGAAATGGTACTGCTTGGTGATGCTAGAACCGCTGGCCTTGAGGAAAAAACATATATTGACTGGAGAAACAAAACCTCAACTCAGACTCTTCATGAATCCAAGGATAAAGAAGAGCTAATGAGGGGCTGGAAAGATGGCACAGTGGAGAAGAGCACTGGCTGCTCTTACAGAGGACAGGGGTTGGGTTCCCAGTACCCCCACAGCAGCTAGCAACCATTTATAACCTTAGTTCCAGAAGATCCAACGCCCTCTTTTGACATCTGTAGGCACTGCATGACACGGGTACACATATACATGCAGGCAATACACTCATACACATAAAATAAAAATAATAATTTAAAAAAGAGCTAATGAAAAAGCAAAATAATAAAACACAGGCATGAAAAAGTTATAATTAATAAGGACCAGCAAAAAATTAATAGCAAAAACAATTTCATGAATTTATCAAGGATTTCAGATTGAAATTATCAAATATGATACACATATACTAGGTTTACTTCTTTCAAAAAAAAATGAGTGCACACCAATGATCTCAACACTCAGCAGGCAGTGGCAGAAGGAGTTCAAGTTCATGGACAGTGTGCTGCCTGGCAAGCTCTAGGCTAGCCTAAGCTACACAGTAAGACCCTGGATTAAAACACCAGGGATAGGGATACAGCCCTGCAGTGGAAGGCTTGCCTAGTATAAACAATGTCCTGGGGTCTTTCCTTAGCATAGGAGAGGCAGGGGAAGAATAGCATTTTAAGAATGAGAGACCAGTAGTGGCTGTGATCTCAGCAAACCTGGCCAGAGAGTGCTGGGTTCCTGGCCTCCCTCCTGCATAGGGGCTGAGAACACAGGAACCTGCCTGAGAGCTCCTGGATCCTGCCTCCAAGTGGTGGTGAGCTTCCAATGGTGAGACCTACCCATCCCCCTAACATGGGATTTCTTGAGGCCCCTCCCAAGACCCCAGGGCAGACCTGGCTTTGGTAGGCTAAGGCTGAGATTCTAGCAACCACCTGAGAGGGTGAGCTCCGACCTCAATCTGTGTAGTGGCTGCCATATCAGCACACCGTCAGAGTGCCGGGTTCAGGCCTCCCTCTGGCATAGGGCCTGAGAACACAACAGACCAACTTAAGAGTCCCAAACTCGCCCGTCCTCCCCCAACACCGCGAGCTCCCACCCCGTCCAGGGAATTTTCCCAATTTTCTCTGAACTCCTGCTAATAGGGGTCCAAACCTTAAAAGGAAGCCTGAGTGAACCCGACTGGAACCTGACTTGGGCTTCTGTGGGTGCTCCTGAATAGCTGATCTGAACCATCAGTTCCCTCCAAAATAAAACCTGAGAGAACCTGAAACCTGCACCAACCAGCTTTACATAACCAATAAAGAAAGGATCTAGGCACCCAGATAATACTAACAGAAGCATACTTCAACTTAATTCTTATATCAGAATCATAAACAACAAAAGAAATACACATGCCAAAATCACAACGAAAGAATAATGTAGGCAGTAAAGTGCCAGACCTAAGCACAGGCTGCACTAGAGAGCACAGCTTCTGCCTTGAGAATATGGCCCACACTTGCACAAAAGAGCCAGCCTATAATCTGCCCCTGGACCTAGAGACTGATGAGGCAAGCAGCCTGGACGAGGGGATCTATCAGGAAGCGACACACCAGCTTATGGGACACTGGGGGCGGGGGGGGGGGGTATATAAAGCCTGCCTTTTCC